TATATATATATATCATTCAGTGGAAAAGAAATTATAAAGAGTTCACATCTAATATTGTCTACAAAGAGATTTAGTAAGGTACTTATAATATATGCATATAATGTTTGGAAACAATGTTTTTCATAGTATCTAAAATTGATATTAGTTTACACGATAAATTAGTTGGTATTGTTAGGAAATGTTTGTGGGTAAATGTATTCAGTTTGGCGGTAACATATTTTCAATTATTTTCTATCCGGTTGAACACGTTTTCAAATCGGGCGGTGTCAGTTACAGGTATTTTAAAATGAAATTCCTTAACCATATTTTACAATTAAAAGAGGTTAACTGAAATTGACGTTTAGTTCCTAGCTTTTACCCAAAATAAAACATATCGTGTAATAATAAAAGGCGAAATATAATAAACAAAAATAAGTTTTGTATGAAAAGTAAATATTTTTCAACGACTGCACTTAAATTATCGAATAATTATGTGAGGTAACATTGGGAACAATGATTAAAATAACTTGGAGATTGTGAAAAAAAATAATAAAAGAAATTAATGGTCATTGATATTAATCATTTCTGGTAGTGGTGCAATAATTAGAAGTTAGAAATTAGTTATATTTCATTGATAATAATGAATATTACCAAGCAAATGTAATATTTAATTTATATTAAATATTTAATAAATTAATTTCGTTTTTACAAATTATAATCCTTTAATAACAATAATTGATAATGAATAAAATCAGTGTAAGAATCATTTTAATTAGTTGCAAAAAAATTATTGACGTAAACGGTTCTTCATATTCAAACTACAAATTACTCTCTTGAAATATATAATTCCTGGCTATAATATTATAACCGCCCAATTAGTTCATAGTATTGCGCATTTTAACACGGTTTTAACATTTTTTCAAAGAAATTAAGCCCAAATATTTTTGCTAATCGTCTCTTCAGGTGTTCTTTTTATTGATGCCATTTTTCTAGCTATCCTTCTTGAATATCCAAAGTCATTGCAACTCGTAGATTACTCATAACAAATCTAACGTCTTCACACTCTCATACAATAAAATATAATAAAAAGCGAGGATTTTTTGAAAATTTTGAGAATGCCCCAGTGGTTCATTGTACCCCGGAAATTGAAAAATCGGTTTCAAATTCAAGGGTCCAATTGATTTGGGAATGTAAATTTTAGAGAAAATTGGCTGAATGATTCTAGAATTAACACTAGGGACGTTCTAGTGTTAGTCACTAGCGTTGTTCACAGACGGACGTTTTGCCGTCATTCGATTTTTCGGTATCAAGGACCCACCGAAAAGAGTTCTTCGCATGTGTTAGACGATTTTTTTCTAAGTTTAGCAAATGGATATATCCACTTTTTCGTTACAAGGGCTCTGTAACAAGAGTTTTTGTACTGAAAATTCGCTCCTTTTTGCTTAGGATTTCATAACTTTCTCTCTACTGCGTAAGCAGTAGCGAGAAAGTAAAAAGGCTGAATACAACACGTTTATTTTTCATTTATTAGCTGAAAATAACAAATCATACCAACAAAAATAAGAAGAGCACATTACAAAGTAAACGAGACGACAAATAAAAAAAAAATAAACATATTTTTGCAATTTATTAGTTATTAGTTGAGTAATCCCCTCCAAGTGCACAACAATTTGAGATGAACATTTGAAAGTGAAACTACAATGGCGTCTAGACACACACGTCTCAAAATAGTAGAAAACAACATATTTAAAAGAAATGATATCGAGACACTATTATACCTAATGTGACTAGGTTCTGTACATTTTGAAAGTAAAGTCATGGACGACTTTCAAAAGGTTTTGAAAATCACGGTTTAATAGTTTGTAATTTAATGGCGAATTAATGTGATCATTGATTATTCATTTCTTTGCAAGAAATCTACGCCTTTCATGTATAATCATTGTCTTAGTACCGAATGTCACAAAAAATTTTCATAGAATTTTATTAGTTTAGCACATTACTTTAAATAATCATGTATGAGGGGTTTTACGTCTAGTGCATTATAAAGTCATCAATAATTCCATAATTTTTCTACCTATTTAAAAAAATGTAAGAGAAGGACTTCAGTAATTTCGTCTTTCAATTTGCATGAAATTTATCAGTAATGAAATTCACCACTTCATTTCTATCATGAAAGGTATTTCTAATTTGTCTAACTGCAGATGCAGTACATTGAAATTTCATTTTTATACAGATTGCTTCAGGGTTATGGCTACTTATATTGTATGATATTCGGAAAGATATTACATTTGGATTCGTATGTTGGGTTCGTTATTATTTTTTAAAGTTAATGTTCATGATTTTAGGATACTTTTTATGTAATGCTTCAGTCTTTACACTGAAATATTTCACTATTTACACTGCAATACAATTGCTGTCTATTATGAAAAAGTTTAAAGAAATTGTCAATTTAATTGTAAGACATTGAACCAGTGACCGTCGAAGTGATTCATACTCAGACATAACGTGAAGGGATCCGTTCATCTGTCGGTGCGTTCGTGGTCGTTCCGGATCCTTCTGTCAACCTGTAGACAACTCTGGTCCAAATTAAGCCGTTTACAGGGTTTTCTCCAAAACAAATATTTTCCGATCGATCTGGGTGAAATCGTGGCCTCTCGAATTTGAAATGTATCTTTCAATTTTCAGGGCTACATTACATAAAGCGCCCAATGACATTTTCAGACTTTTTTTTAAAAAAAAGGCTCCATTTTTTAATATTCGTTTCTAGAATATAGCGAAGTTAACTTGTAAAGAAAGCATACGTCGTATTTTCATTTAAAGTTCTAAACTATCCAATTTTTGACCTTCCTCTTACTACTATTTGATCAAGATAGAGACTACTCGTCATAAGAGACTTCATTACACTTATGACATAGTACTGTTGTGACTTATAGACTACTTAATATTTTCCAATAGCCTAATTATAATGCCGTTTTTTAAATGTATAGTTTCCCTTTAGGTTTTATATATTTAATTATTTTTGGTTAGTGGTTAGTGACAAGTCACCAAGTCACTACCTACATAGACACTACATATATTTACTACATGTAATTACTACTTATAAACAACTACATGTATTTACATATTCATCGTATATCTTATATGTAAAATAAGATGATAAAGTGTATCTTCAAGTTCCAAACCCAACTGAAGGTTGTGTAATTTAACTGGCAGTCGTGTCCGAGCAGCTGAGTTGTGCGCATCGCGCGTTTCAGCTCTTATCTACGGTGCCTTTCGGCAGCGCGATCTATTGTGATAAGTGCCAAGTTCAAGTCAGTACTAACCAGTGCGCAATATCTACGAATGGCTGCCCCGACACGGGGCAGCACATTGGTAATACAGTGCACATTCTTAACGCTTCATGCAGTGAATATAGTGAATTAAATCCAGTGCAAAAAAATGTTTTTAAATAATCATACGGGAGAAAGTAGTAGCGTTTATAAAAGTGAATCTCATCAACCTCAGCAGTGTGTTTAATTCACCTCAACAGCAACTTGCAGTGGAACCATTAAGACAGCAATAACATTGTCGTAAGTGAATCAACCTGGATACGTTTGGTTGCAAGTGCCTCAACAGATCCTACAACTGCCACCTCAGCATCAACAACCCCAGTGAATGCAACAAGCGCCCTTTCTGCAAAGCGCTTATCAACTTCACCAAGGTTTTACAGCCGGCGACCCAGTACTTACACAAGGTAAAACTACCAACGTTCCTTCTATAAGCGAAACAGTGCTAATCCATGTAGACTCCCAGTGTATGGGAACTCCCAGTGTGTTGAGGGTAAAAAACCAAGATTGTCAACAACTGCAATATCTTCTGACAAAAATCAACCTAAAAGTAATCTCAATACCTTTCAATATTATGTGCTCTTATAAATTCACTTCCTGGCTTACGGGGTATCTGATCGACAAGATCAGAGATGAAGTCATAATTTTCCTTCGCAGAACGTGTTTACATTTCTTCGTCGTGGAGCTCCCCAAAACACCCTTCGTAAGATCAGTAGCATTATCTCTTCATTCGCCAAACATTCCCGTTAGATAGATGCAAGCACCAGTTACTTTTGTGCCCTCTATTTACTGCTTCGTAGACTCTTGGTATTTGACTTCTGGCTCAACCTTCGCGTAGTCATTGGCGCGCAGTGTTTGCGGCAAAATGTTGAATCGGAACTGTTTATCTGACAGTAATATCGTCGCTATACAATTGAAACATATCAAGTCTAAAAACATGAGCTAATGAAAGCTATGAAATCTGTACACTTAATATCATTTGCTAGATTGATAAAATCCGTGTTCTTTTACACACACTTTAATGAATGGATGAAAATCAGAACAGTATAAGTGACATTTGATAAATTCTGAGAAAAACGTGTTTATTTTAGGATATATTTCAGTGGCAATGTATTTTCAAGGTTTTAATGAGCAATTGAAATGCCATGGTTTTAATGATGAAACAAATCACCACGACTTTATAGTAATATTGACTTAAATAAACAAATTTCTCAGAATTTATAAAATATTTCTTACACCGTTCTGGTTTTTACCCATACATATGTAAAATTGCTTTCATGAAACAAATAAAAACAATCCTCAGAGGGATTTTTTCCTCCACATTTTCACTGATAGTGTATTCATTACAGAACGAAATACTAGATAGTTTAATTCCCCCAAAGTGGCGGCAAGCGTTGAGTGTTGAAGGGGGGGGAGGCGCGGGTCGCACACGCACGCTCTGGCCGGCGGCGGGCGCGTCGTCTGCGGCGCTGCGTCGTTGCTTGCGGGCGGCGCCTTCTGGCCGGGCGCGTGTCGCGACAGCAGCCGGCCCCTGCTCAGGCCCCGGCCCCGGCCCCGGCGACGGCGACGCGTCGGCCCAAGGAGCCGGGCGGGCCGGGGGTCGTTCCTGCTGAACCCGCTGGCTGGCCTGAATTAAGATCATAGAGCGGCCCTGCTCCTTCCCCCACTTCCCCTCCATGTCATCCCCTTACCTCCTCAACCTCCCCTCCCCTCCCATGAACTTCCTCCCCTCACCCTTTGTCGCCACATCTTACCACATCTCCCTTTCCTTTTCGGCCCCACTTCCATTCTCGCGCACCCCCTCCTCTACGTCTTCTTCCCCCTCCCGCTCGACCGTGTCTGTCCGATCCCGCCCGCTGAGCCTCGCCCGAAATGAGTTATAAAGCCGAGAAAGACCGCTCTCTCGTGGCGCGCGGGGGGGGGGGAGAGAGACGCAAGCAAGAGATATGAGGTTGCAAGATAAGAATAAGGACGAAGGAGAGAGAGAGAGAAGGGCGCGCGGGTGACAACGGAATGTGAATAGAGAATAAATGAGCAAATAAAAAAAATCATTTTCCGAGGGTGGGACGGCGCGATGGGAGATGCTTTCGCAGGAAGGCGCGATCGGGTGAAGGAAGAGTGGGGGGGGGGGCAGATGGAGAGGGGAATAACGGGGAGGGGGCCAAACAACCCTCCCCTCCTCCTCCCCCAAAAGAAGGAAGAGACTCCGAAGAAGAAGGAGAAGAAATCTCTCGCGTTTGAAAAGTCGCTCGCGTTTCTCTTAATTACCTAGCAAATCTGTGTGTATGAGGAGAGAAGAGGGAAGAAGAAGCAGGTTTTAGTCATATTAGTCTGCGAATATATTTCCTCAATGTGGTGGACTCAATATAGAAGTTTTGGCCCTCCCTCCGCCCCCGCGCCATAATTCTGCAGCCGACGCCGCCCCTCGCCCCGCCCTCCGCGCTCCGGCGCAGATGCCGCGCGTGCTCGCCCCGCCGCCGGCCCCGCCCCCGCCCACGCCACCGCCCTAGACTTCGATGCCAACGTCGCTCGGAATCCTTCGCACTTAAGCCCCCCCTCTCTGCCGATCTTTGCTCTGTGTGTTCGTGAGATTAGTGAAGTCTTGGAACTTGGAGTCGCTATGTCGTGGAAATCTATTATTTGTATTTTTCATCTCCTTTTTCATTGTAAAATTTATTATCTGCTTTCCGTCTTTATTTCTTCATTGCAATTATTATTTTCATTGTATTTGTAATTTTCATTCTTTTATTTTTTTCCATTGTTGTGTTTATTATTTTTAATGTTTGTTTACAAAATGTCTAGAGGAATTCTAAGAATAATTAATAAACTAAAAATAAATATTCGGCCGATTTTTATGAATTTTCGATTTGTTTGTGAAAGACTTTTGCGTCTTCTATTATGCACTCGACAACTCACGTATTCAATGCTTCCGTATACACCGGAATATTTCTGTTTTCAAAAGAGCTCAGAAAAAGCCGATATATTAAGTTAAGAGAGTGAAGTTAATAAATAGTACTGAAAAAATAATCTCATAATAATGGCCAATTTCTCTTTTGCCAGTTTTTCAAAAAAATATCGTATTAGAATGGCTTTGTTGTATATAAGTATTTCTGTATGGGAACTTCCTCAGAAACTATGAAGTGTTTTCGTAGAGATGTCGCTACCCTTTAGGGATCCCCTGCGCTTTTATGAATGAATAAATAGGGGCAGCAGTTGGTCAAAATAAAGCTCCTATTGGAATGTAGTAGATCTTTCTTATGTATTTATTGCTATTAACCATAATTTTCAGTTCACAATATTATCTTCTAATGGAGTTTGTTTCATTGCCTTAATTGAATATCCTTGTTCTTTAAGCATACACGTGTATCTCAAAATGTAAAATTACCTTACTTGAATATAGACACATTATGTACCCATCTTCATTGGTTATTGTCAATTAGGTGCAGGGTTCGATTTTAAAAACTGTCCTCTTCATTCTTTATGTAAGCAAGAACAGTTCAAATCCTTAATGATACTCCTATTCTTTGCTAAAGAGAAACAAGAAGTGGAACGATATCAAAAGTTCTATATTGGTTTATATACAACAAATAAATAGTAAACGAAGATAACAGTTTAATTGCAGTTTTTCACTTCAAACGAACAATTCCATATTTTATAGAAAGAAAATAATGTGCAATTGATTTATGATAGTGGAGGGAAATTATTGAGTCTCTCTATCCAGGCAAATAGACGTTCGTGTAAATGAATCGAACACAAAATGAAGTTCATTATATTAGGTATTCAGAATTATTTCACATTTCGTCAGAGTGGAATGATGACTTTATTTCGTCGGTAAAAATATGAAATAAAATTTATAGTTTGTGGGTCAATCAAAATAGTTCTTGACGGCGCCATTGTTCCAACGCATGAACTCGATGAAATAATACTCACATACTAGTTAGTTTCATCTCTGACCGCCAAAACAGTCATT